ATAATAACAAACAAGCGACGCGCCCCTGAGGGCCCACCGAACCCCCGAGGGACATCCCAACGAACCTAAATAAGCCTCCACGGCGCCACTGGTCCACGACCCAGGCACGGTGGCGAGGGGGTCCGACAGGATACATATACCTATTGCCGCGTAACCTGCTCGGCTCGCCATTGAAAAGCCGCTGTCCCCGCCGAGCGGGGCACCGCGGCATGAGAATTTAAACTAAACTTTAGCCCGCCCTCCCCACACACCACCCCTTTCCGTTTACCCCTGGTCTTATTTTCACCCGCCCACCCCCTCCTCCCTCTCACCACTGCCCCCCCTCATCACTTTCCGAATCGTCGCCCTTATCACCATCCGCATCGCCCCCATTTCCCCCCTCTCCCATCCCTCACCCGACAGTCCTCACCCACGTCCGCCCCGTGATCGCTCCCACCCCCTTCTAGCCCTAGCACCCCGCCCCCCCTCACCCCCGCCCCCCCTCCCCCTCCCCCATCCCCCCCTGCCTTATCGCCCCTCGCATGCGGAAGGGCGGCAGCCGACTAACGTTTTTGCAGCTTGAGCAGCAGCTCGAGCCAGCGGCACCTTTGACCGCTTTGGCTTCTTTGTGCGCCTTTTCGTCCTGTATAATACAATGGAGCTTTGACCTCACAACATACATATTTCCAAACCCATCGCTCAATCGAAACCCAGACGAGAAACACACGTGCTGTCTAAACATTGTATTAAACACTTGTTTTAACACTCCGCTGTATTTACCTTTTACTTTCAACAACGTGTCATATGGCAACACACCAACTGGAAACCAACCGTGTTCCGCCGCGCGGAACCACTCAGGCAGGTCAACGAACGTAAAGTATATGCTCAGGTACTTACCAACATTATCAGGCCGCAACTGGTTCCCACCTGTTGTTTCATCACCCCATACAGCCAACCTAGAGACTGTCAGGGCGCTGTGGTCGGGCCCGATGTGCTGGTGCAAAAAACGGGCAAACAAAGAGCACTCTGTACACAAGTGGGCCAACAGCGCAAACGGGCATGCAATTGACCACTTATAAGTGGTATCGTCGTCCAAGGGAAGATGTATCTGCTTTAGTACATGCCCATTATGCGTCGAAAGCCCTTCGAGGTATCGATTCACAGCAACTTTTACTGAAGAATATTCGTCGTCGCCATCGCCGCCCTGCAATCCATCAATTGAGCGGTCGAGGGCCGCGAACGACTGCCGCAGGCCAGCAGTCTGAAGTCTCTGCGCGAGTTTGGGCTTTTTGGTTGGGGGGGGGCATGCATGGTGCCAAGCACTGAGCACAATGTGCTACGGATAGGGGTTGGGGGTTATGCCAACGGCCCATCGTTCCAAACCCCAAGCCACACATAGGGCCCCTACCGTACGGCCTCACCACCGCAAGCCTCTTCATCTCCCCGCCGCCCACAACCCCCAGGATACTGGTCAGTCATGAGCGCTTGGGGTGGGGTGCGTATTTCGACCAACCCATCCGTTGTTGGGGGCCGAACGGTCCTTCACTGTACCTGGGTGCGTGGCTGAAGTGGGGTTCCGCGATGCGTGTTGTTGGGTGGGTGGTGTTTGGGTGGCGGGTGGTGGGTGGTCAGTGGGTGGTGGGTGGTCGGTGGGTGGTCAATGGGTGGTGGGTGGTGGTGGGTGGGTGTGGGTGGGTGGTGGGTGGGCGGTTGCGGGTGCGGGGGGGGGGGGGCGGTTCGGAGGTGGGTCGGTGGGTGGGTGATGGGTGGGAGGTGGGTGGTGGGTGGATGGTGGTGGGTGGGTGGTGGATGGTGGGTGTGGGTGGGTGGTGGGTGGGTGGTGGGTGGTGGGTGGTGGGTGGGTGGTGGGTGGTGGGTGGTTTAAAATGGGTTGCATGTGGGTGGTGAACGGGTGGTCGGTTGCGGGTGGATGGTGGGTGGGTGGTGGGTGAGTGGTGGGTGGGTGGTGGGTGGGTGGCGGGTGGGTGGTGGGTGGGTGGTGGGTGGATGGTGGGTGGTGGGTGGGTGGTGGATGGGTGGTGGGTGGGTGGTGGGTGGGTGGTGGGTGGGTTGTGGTTGGGTGGTGGGTTGGTTGGTACCCTTGCCCGCGCCTCCGCCCCCTCACTCTTATCCGTAAGCGCGGGGCGCTGCGTGTGTATATATGCATATTCTACGTGTCAGGCGCCACCGAGACATGCGTTTCCGAGCTGCGTCCAACTTCGGCGACGAGGCTGAGCTCGGGAAGGGGGGAGCCAAATCACGAAACCGACGAACCCAACATTAACTGCAGACAAGCACAGCCGACGACGCTAACGACGTCGACGACAGGGACGACGACGATGGACGATGGAAGCGAACACAAAAACGACGACGATTACGACGACGGGTGACGACGAAGACAACCACCACGACGACGTTGACGGACGACATTCCGCCTCCTTCCTCCTTCATCGTCCCCGCATTCCCCGACATCCCCGAGACAGTTAGAGTAGTCAGAGAAGTTATGAAAAGTTAAGAACAAGTTAAGCGACAACCGAGAACAACTAATGAAAGGATACGAGAAGTTATGAAATGATGTGAAAAGTTATGACAAGTTATGAAAAGCTGGGCAGGTTAGCTTGCAACTGCACCGCAATTATAACACAAATGCAACACCCGAGCCCCAATTGCACTCTAACTTCTGTGTAAGTCTGGCCCAACTCATGTATACATCGCCTAACCCCAGATTCTGCAAAGTGGGGGGCTGCGATCTGCGACACTGTCGCCACTTTCGAAGGCTGCCGGCGGGTCCAGCAGAGCGAGCCACCGCGCAGACCCAAGCGGGACATCGCCGTCCTTGGGGGGCTGCGATCTGCGACATTGCCACCGCTTTCGAAGGCCGCCGGTGGGTCCGGCGGAGCGAGGCACCGCGCAGACCTGAGCGGGGACTCGCCGACCCGGGGGTGCTGCGATCTGCGACGCTGTCGCCACTTTCGAGGGCTGCTGGCAGGTCCGGCGGAGTGAAGAACCGCGCAGAGCTGAGCGGGACCTCGCCGTCCCTGGGGGGCTGCGCTCTGCGACCCTGGGGGGCTGCGATCTGCGACGCTGTCGCCGCTTTCGAACGCCGCTTTTGGGTCCAGCGGAGCGAGGCACCGCGCAGACCTGAGCGGGACCTCGCCGTCCCTGGGGGGCTGCGATCTGCGACGCCGTCGCCAGTTTCGAGGGCTGCTGGTGGGTCCAACAGACTGAGGCACCGCGCAGACCTGGGCGGGACCTCGCCGTCGCCAGGGGCTGCGATCTGTCGCCGCTTTCGAAGGCTGCTGGTGGGCCCACGGGAGCGAGGCGCCGCGCGGACCTGAGCGGGACCTCGCCGTCCCTGGGGAGCTGCGATCTGCGACGCTGTGGCACCCTCAAGGGGTCCAGCGGAGCGAGGCACCGCGCAGACCTGAGCGGGACCTGGCCGTCCTTGGGGGGCCTCGATCTGCGACGCTGTCGCCACTTTCGAGGGCTACTGGCGGGCCCACCAGGCTGAGGCACCGCGCAGACCTGAGCGGGACCTCGCCGTCCCCGGGGGGCTGCGATCTGCGACATTGTCGCCACTTTCGACGAGGGCTGCTGGTGGGTCCAGCACCGTGCAGACCTGAGCGGGACCTCGCCGTCGCTGGGGGACTGCGATCTGCGACGCTGTCGCCAGTTTCGAGGGCTGCTGGTGGGTCCAACAGACTGAGGCACCGCGCAGACCTGAGCGGGACCTCGCTGTCCCTGGGGGGGCTGCGATCTGCGACGCTGTCGCCACTTTCGAGGGCTGCTGGTGGGTCCAGCGGAGCGAGGCACCGCGCAGACCCGAGCGGGCCCTCGCCGTCCCTTGGGTGGCCTCGATCTGCGACGCTGTCGCCACTTTCGAAGGCTGCTGGCAAGTCCGGCGGAGTGAAGAACCGCGCAAAGCTGAGCGGGACCTCGCCGTCCTTGGGGGGCTGCGATCTGCGACCCTGGGGGGCTGCGATCTGCGACGCTGTCGCCACTTTCGAAGGCTGCTGGTGGGTCCAGCGGAGTGAGGCACCGCGCAAACCTGAGCGGGACCTGGCCGTCCTTGGGGGGCCTGCGATCTGCGACGCTGTCGCCACTTTCAGGAGCTGCTGGCGGGTCCACCAGGCTGAGGCACCACGCAGACCTGAGCGGGACCTCGCCATCCCTGGGGGGCTGCGCTCTGCGACACTGTCGCCACTTTTGAAGACTGCTGGTGGGTCCAGCGGAATGAGGCACTGCGCAAACCTGAGCGGGACCTCGCCGCCCCTGAGTGGGCTGCGATCTGCGACGCTGTCGCCACTTTCAGGAGCTGCTTGTGGGTCAGCGTATCCCTGATGTGCCTGGTGTGTCTGCTGCCTGTGGTGTGAGTCGTGTGCCCAACGCGTTCGGTGCTCTGGTGGGCCTGGTGGGCCGGATGCGTTTGTTGTGCCAGATGTGCCACGTGTGCCAAATGTGCCCCGTGGTTATGGGCCGTGCCCAATGGGCCTCGCATGCTTGGTGTGTCAGTGTCTTTTGTGTTTGGTGTGCTTGGTGCGCCCCGTAACCCTGACGTGCCTGGTGTGTTTGGGGACTGTGATGTGCATCGTATGCCCGGTGCGTTCGACGTTCCTGAGAAGTTTGATGTGCCAGATCTCGGACCAAACGCGGGAACACCACGGGCACACCGCTTACATTGTCACTCTTTCTGGAACATCACCCTTTACAGGTGCGAGCTGCTAGGTCGGACATGGTTTTCCCCTACTACAATCGCACATCCCACACATTTTGGAACGCCGACGTTTCAAGCCCCTTGCCCGCCTTCTCCATTTGGACCTTGCCTTAGTGACTCACGGTTCCACTTAGCTGCTCATATATACCCCGCGTTTTCCGTTGATCGGGGACCTGCGAACCTCCCGAACGCCGCTCGCAGAAGTATATGCGTCCATGTCACGTCGTCGCCCTCTCGTCAAATCTCCCAAGCTACTCCTGCCCTGGGTACGTCGCCAGGGTAATTTGACCAGGCGATCGCACCAGTCCTTCTGCGACTCCAGCGAGGCCTGCAGTCTGCCGGTCTCCTTCGCGGCTGCCAACCGCCGCCGCTGCTCCTCCTCTAGGGCAACTACCATCGCGCGTCGCGCTGAGCGAAGCGCAATTCTCTTCGTGCTTCCGCGCCGCCCCCCCCCGAACAGGATGAGGGACTCGCGCCTCGCTCTGAAATCGCCCAGACACGCGATGCTCGAAGCGCGACGCGCGACTACCTTTGAACCCTCGTGGTGGCCCTATAGCTCCTGCACCAGGGCGACCAGCTCGCTCCTCGCCTGCTCTGCCGCCTCCTCCGCGGCCCGGGCGGCCTGCAGCTTCGCCTCCAACACGGCCACGCCGCGCCGCTCCTGTAGAAATTTGTTGTTTTAATGTTCCGGCGATGGCCCAGGTTATCCAGGGGAGTGAGTGAGGGGGGGAGGCGGATACCGATACCCAAACCTTTTCGCTTTGGGCAGGTGGGCAGGGCCCGATAACCGGGCGGTGGTCGCCGGATCCATAAAAAGCACCTTCTAGGAGAAGGACAGCACGAAGAGGAAGGACGAGGAGGATGAGGAGGAGAAGACGGAGAAGCACCAGAGAACAGGAAGCGGCATAGGCACAGCCGTTCGAAGGCCCGCGCGGGCGGCTCCGGAGGCGCCGCCCGCGGGGGGGCCCAACGTCGACCCACGGGATCCACGTGGACGTTGGGACTATTTACTACCAATGTTTCTCCCGTCGCCTTTGCCAACATATTTTCTTACTCCTGTAACGCAACGCCGTAGATCATTCAAAGTTCCGAGCCTCTGTCTATACGGAAGCAATCTGTTGCACAGCTTGTTCTCTCTCTCTCTCTCTCTTTGGAGCTCCTGGGCCAGCGCCTCTGCCTGCGACGCCTGGGTCGCCTTGGAGTCTGCCCGCGCCTGCTCCATGCGCTCTAGCCTCAGCTCTGCCCGCTCTAGGTTCCGGCGCTCCTCCGCGAGCTGGTGCTCCGCGGCCGCGGCCCGCTCAGAGAGCTGCCGCTCTCGCTCCTCTGGTTGGGAAGCGACACGGAGGGGAACAGACCTGCGACGAAGCTTCGAGACACACTCGCGATAGAGCCCGTGACCGCCCCCCCTCCCCCCCCGCCTCGCTGGCGCCGTCCGGGATTAAGCTATTCTCAAATAACCTAAGACGGCGCGGGCACGAATCGTGACGTGACTGGCCCTTTCCCCTCACCCCCCCTCCTCGCCCCGTCCCAGTCATGCCCGTTACCGCCAGGGGATGAAAAACGGGCTCTAGGACTTCGGACGTTTCTTAAGTTCTCGGCGGGATTGCAGCCTCGGCAGCTGCGCCTTGCCGAGAGCGTTCTGCGGTCCCCGATCGTCCCGAACGGCCGCCAAAGGCCAGAGTAGGACCCTACGTAAACCACCAGTGGGCCAGCTTAGGGCGAGAAGCATCGATCGGGAATCGGCGATGCATCGCCGACAGGTTGGCGACCAACGGGCGACAGGTCGATGCATCCCCTCTAGAGCCTACATCCCCTTCCTAAACGTTGCCCCTGATCAGTGGTAAAAAATATTTCCCTGGACCTTTCCTGGGGTGCATTCAGGCCCGAATTTCGAAGCGTATCCAGCTGTGGCCACGAGATCAACCCGAGACGACCAAAAACCTCCAGAGAGCGAATCTCGAACGTGAAACCTCGGAGCCTGTCCCCGCTAACGTTGCCCCTGATCCTCCTCGCGCTCGAGCATGGTCTGCAGCCCGGCCATGGCGGAGTTCGCTACGCTGGCCGCCTGCAGCGAGGCCTCCAGCGAGTCGCGCTCCGCGGCGGCACGGTCCAGCTCGGCCTGGGACAGGAGCAGCCTCTTCTCGGCAAGGTCCACCTTTCGGGAGAGGTGAAGTCCAGATGGAGTCCCAGCAGACATAGTGCCTTGGCTCAAACTGAACTCAGGGACAATAAGAAACCTTACGATGAGAGATCTAAGCTTTTATGTTTCCTCAGGCGCTGAGATGGCTACGTGTGTGGGTTCCCAGGGTCGTCGGGGGAGAAGCAAATTCAGTTGGGCACCTGCACGCATGCCTGTCTCTTAGTGGGTGTTCCGGCTGTAGGGGGATAAATCCAGTTGGAGGCCCACTTGATGGTGCGGTGGGCCATCGGGCCCCTGTCGGTGATCAGTGGGCGATTAGGGATCAATGCGCCCCCTCCCCAGCCTTGGGCCTCCCCCCCTCCCCAGTGGTTTTCGGGATATGAATTGAGACTCCAACGGCCGTCCGGGACGGTCCAGGCATCCCCCGAACGCTCGCGGCGGGGCGCGCCCGCCGGAAGGCACCCCGAGGCCGCAAAACCGCCGAGAACCGACAAGAGCCGAGGAAGTCGCCCGATAACGTCAAACTTCGGGCTGCACTGGCGCCGCTCGGGGCCTTCTGCCTCTCCGCGGCCAGCACGGCCTCCGTGCGCTCGGCCTGCTCGGCCAGCTGGGCCTGCAGCTCCTCCAGCCTTGGCCGCTGCTGATTAGAGGGGCGATGAGTGTCGATGTCTGGGACCAGGTCTCCAAGCGTGTTGCCACCGCTTGGGGGGCGCATCTTGTGCTTGCCCCGGCTCCCGCAGGCCTTCCGCCAGCGGAGAGGATCTCGTTCTACTTCCGCTGCCTTCCGCCGCCTTCCGCCGAGGAAGAGATGGCAAGTCCTTCGGTCCTCAAAAGCGACGCCCTTTCTTGAACACCTCAAACGAGGGGTGGGGGGTGGGCGGGGGGGAGATACGTGAACCTGTCGTGCCCCTTTTGGGCCACAGAGGTTTCTTTTCGGTGCGCGAAAGGTGCACCTCTTCTGCAACCTCCGACTCATCGCCCCCCCATTGCGCAACGCCCGACAGCCTGGCGGAGTCCAGGCGCCAGCCCTGCTCTCGTGCCAGGGCTTGCGCGCTGAGCGCCTGGGCGCTCTCCTGCGCCTCCTCGCAGCAGAGCAAACAGCTCCGTAAGCATAAACTTCCGGAGGCCCGCGCGGATAAATTTGATCGACGTTGGACACCTCTCCCCGGCGCGCGAGCGCGCCAGGGGCGGCGCAGGAGGCGCCACCCAGGAGGTCACAGCACCGATCCCAGAAGTCCGCGCGGAGCTCTGGCAGCTTAATGTCGTTATGCTGTTTCTCTTCTTCGGCTCCTGCAGCTTCGCCAACGCCTGGCCCAGCTGCTCCTCCAGCTGCTGGGTTCTGTCGTTGGAGGCCTTGTCGGCGGCGGCCTCATCCGAGGCGAGCTTTTTGCTCGAATCTACCGCCTCGGCCAATTCGCGCTGCAGCTCCTGCACGCGCTCTGCCAGCGAGTCGCGCTCCTCCATACCCTTCTCCACCACGGCCAGCTTTGCTTCTAGCGCGGCCCGAGCGCGCTCGGCCTCGCGCACCTGTTCCAGCGCCTGTTCGAAGTTCCGCTGGTCAGCAAGCAGCTGCGCCTCCGCCTTGAGTGCGCGGTCCTTCGTGGAGTCGCCAGCCGCGCACGCAGCGCTCAGCTCCTGCATCGCCTGCTCGTACTCGCACTGCACCTCGCAATTACTGGCGGACAGCGCCGCGAGCTGCTCCCGCAGGAGGGCCAGCTCGCCGCCAGACGACTGGATGCTGGCGAGCTCCTTCTCGGCCTGGGAGAGGCGAGCCTCCAACTCGGCAGCCTGCCTTTCGGAGGCCCCATGGTCGGCCGCCAGCTCCTCGTAGGCGAGCTGGGCCTTCCGCGCCTGCGCGCGCTCCTGAGCGTCGCTTGACCGATGCCTATTCCCACTGGCGTGGCCTTGGCCACGCCAGTCGATTTGCCCACCCAGGTGAGGATAGATGGTCCAGGACCCGGCCACGCTGCCCCGATGCTGATGGGATCGCCCCCCTTCCCCCCGATGGCCAGACCCTCCGTGTGAGTGTGGTGATGTGCTGCCGTGCCGCCCGCCACGCCCCTATGGGTGCGGTGAAGAGCTTTGGTGCTCCATGGAGCAATGGAGCGGGATGGATGCACCCCTCCGGGGTCTTGGCCTCCAGGAGAGGTCCAGAGGTTGCCCCTGTCGTCGTCGTCGTCGTCGTCGTCGTCGTCGTCGTCGCCGTCGTCGTGGGCCCGCGGGGCCCTCGGACCCATCCCATCGGAGGGGTGTCCCTCGGGAGCGGATCCCGCGAACATCCTTCGGGTCTCGCGGTGGGAGGGTGGGCTGGTGGAGCTGAGATCGCATGGCCCAGTGTGGATGGGGATACGCTCGGAAATTATTTTCAACATAACGACCGAAACGCTCGGAGAAAAGCCAGTCCCGAGCGAAACCTGGGCTTTCTAAAGTTAGACGATGCTGTGCTCCTGCTCCAGCTCCGCCTCGGTGTGCGCGGCAAACGCCTTGAAGTCCAGGGCGATGGCCCGGCTCTCGCGAAGCCCCCTCTCCGCGGCCTCGAGCTCAAACTCGAGACCCGCCTGCGAGGGGCATACTCAAAGGGGTAAAGCATCGAGTTGAAAACAGTGATGCGTCGCCCGATAGATCGGCGACAGGCCCCTTAATAGCGAATTCGGACGTTCCCCTGGCGGGGTGGGCCATCGGGCCCAAGGCGGCGATCAATGGGCGATTGCGGGTCGATGCGCCCCCTCCCCCCCCTGAGCCGATCCCCCTCCCCAAGTTGTGTTCGGGCCATACCTCGGCTCTCTGGCGGCCGTTCGGGACGATGCGGGCACCCCTGGAACGCTCCCGGCGAGGTGCACCCGCTGGAAAGCCCCCCGAGACCACAACACCGCCGAGAACCAACGAAACCCTCCGAAAACGGCGAACTTCCAGAATCCCCGAACTTGGACCCTATCCTCCCTCGGATCCCATTCCCCTGCCCCCGAGCCTGGCGGGCGCAGGCCTCGCGGAGCAGGTCCTGCGCCGCCTGGTAGCTGCCGTCCAGGTCCAGGAGCTTCTCCCGACGTCTCACCTCCTCCTCGTACGCGGCCTCGAGGAACGCCCGGCTGACGTCATCCTGCGAACCTGAGGAGGCAACTCCTCGGAGGTTTTCGTCGGAACAATTCGGGCGTGTACTTAGCCCGATTACAAGGGCCACTGTGCCGGATATAGGCCGGAGTAAGCCCGGGATTGGGTCGGATTGAACACGGGTTAGTCGGATTAAGCGGGATTAAGCCATATGAAGCTGGCCAAAGCCAGATTAGGTCAGGTTTCGACCGGGGCGCCGATTGCGAATCTAACCTCACAGGAATTGCATCCGAGCGAACCCATGAGACGATCCCTGGTGGCATCGTCCTGGTACAGTGCCGCCAGCCTCACCTCTAGGAAGGCCTTGCCCCGCTCCGCCTCTGCGACGCTCTCCAACGCCTCGCGGAGGCCAGCGGACAGGTCCCTGCAGTCCGCCGCCTGCTCTTCGGCGGTCCTGCGCTCCGCCTGCAGCTCCGCCTCGAGCTGGGACGTCCGCTGATGGGCGGTGCCCGCAGCCCCCAGCTCGCTCTCTGCATGCCGCAGCTCGCTCTGCAGTGCAGCCATGTCCGCGGCGGCGTCGCTGAGCCGGCGCTTCAGGTCCCGCCGCACCTCTTCCAGGTCGAGCAGCTGGGTCTGCTGGACGACGGCCTCCTCCGCCCTCCTGAGCGCGGCGTCCTTAGAGGAAGGATGAGGTAGGGGGACGAGGAGGAGGAGGAGGAGGAGGAGGAGGAGGAGGAGAAGGACGAGGAGGAGGAGGAGGAGGCGGAGGCGGAGGCGGAGGAGGAGGAGGAGGAGGGGTGGGGAAGAGAACGAACGTCGAAGAATGTCATAAACGCCTCCCGTAAGGCGACGGTGCCCCAGTCCGGCGCTGTCGGTGGCGTTACGCCCGCGACACGAGAGGAGACGTCAAAGGGGCCGTTAGGCCGCAGGGCCCCAGTACAATATTATGTTCAAGCCTTGTTTTGATCAACTCTCGGGCGGAACAGCCCTTCCGAGGGTTTCGAAATCAAGTCGAGATCGATTTTTGTTAAAGGATGTCTTGAGCGGAGGCGCCATTTCGAAATCGAAGCAGAAAGGTTCCGAATTCTAGTTTGGAGAAGGAGCGCCATTTCGAAATCAAACCCAAAAGTTTTGACATCGTTCGAAATTGTTGTTGATGCTATTTCAAATAATAACCGCACTTTCGAAATGTCAGACGGCGTGGCTGGTTCGAAACGACGGTTTCGCTTGAGACTTCATCAAAAGCAAACCCGAACGATTTCGAAACTTTCGGGTTCGATTTCGAAATGGCGCTCCTGCCAAAGACTTCCTCCAAACTAGAATTCGGAACCTTTCTGGTTCGATTTCGAAATGGCGCCCCCGCCCAGGACTTCCTCGAAAATAGAGGTCGGCACTTCTTCAGCTCGAATTCGCAGTGGCGCCCCCGCCTAAGACGTGTCCTGGTGGACGAACGAAGCGGGTCAAAACTTCCGCAGCGCCGATGTATGCATAAACGCTCGAGGCTTCGTGCGGATCTCTTGGGTCTGTGGTGGACACCACCAGGTGGCATCTCCAGCGCCGCCCCTGGCGCGCCGAAAGCGCGCCAGAGAAGGGTGAGGGGGGCACGCGCCACAGATCCGAAACATTCGCGTGGAAATCTAGACCCAAACACGTGATGTCCTGATTTGTCCAAAACGGGGTCCCCGGAAGTCCCGACCCTCTGCCCACGGCCGGTGTTCCATCCCGAATCGTTTCTTTGACGGTCCCGGGGCCCGGTGAGGGCCCCCAGAGGCCGAAAATAATGAAACCACGAAACACGTACTGATTTTGTTCACGACGCGAGCATGTCTGGGACAGTTCTTGCTCATGTCAATCTTTCTCCCCCGAGTCCTGGCAGCGAGCCAGCTCCTCCCGGTGCTGCTGCCTGGCCTCTGCGAGCTCCGAGCGAAGCAGCCGCAGCTGCTGCGGGGCCTTCTCCGACTGAGGCGGCGTCTCGGTCGCCCCGGGCGAGGCGGACTTGCTGGAGGCCGAGACGCGCCGCACCGCTCCGTGGGGCCGCATCGACATGGGCGTGAGCCCCGTCGAGAGCTGCAGTTCAGCTTGCGGAGAGGCGGGCAGCATCGCCTACCCAGGGGGCGGCCGGCACGAGGGCAGCGAAGTTCGCGCTGCGCGAGGCGCGAACTTCACTTTGCGCACCACCAGACATTTTTGGCCGCTTTCGGCCCCGAGGGGCCCTCGTTGGGCCCTGGTGATTATCTAGAGATCTGAAACCACAATCTCTTCGTCTTTCCTGGCAGACTGGAACCGAGAAAGACCGGAAACTGTACTGCAAGTGCTGTGTCTGCAGCGTTTGTGCTCAGTGTGCCGCGATGGTGCAAAACAGTCGAGTCACATCCCTTACCCTACTCTCGTAGCTCCACGTTGGTAGCGCGGAGCGTGATTCTCTGTGCGCGAGGTGGCGCACATCGACTTCAGTCTCATCGGCGTGGTGACGCCGCTGACTTTCAACCATCTGCAACACTGGTAGTCCTGCTACGTCTTCGTCGCCATGGCCGACTCCGAAAACCAGAACGGTGCCGTCAGGAGGTTCTCGGGTGAGCAGCCCAAAGGGGTACAAGGCATGGAGGAAGTGGGCGCGGGCATGGATCAAGTCAAAAAACATAAATGAGGACGCGCGAGGTTCAGCCTTGATCACCCTCCTGACCGGTGCAGCGTTCAGGGACATCCAGGACGTCGAGGACGACCTCATCGAGCAGCCTGGCGGGGAGGACATGATCTTCGCCATCCTGGACGACAGGTACCCCGACCTTCCGGCATCGGACAAGCTGGGCGAGGTGATGCGTGCTTGTCTGCGCCTGAGGACCCAGAAGCATGAGGAGGCCAGCACCTACCCAGCACGTACCAGGGCCATCTTCGCCGACGCCGAACAGGAGGGCATCGTCTTGCCCGAGACCGCCCGGGGCATCATGTTGCTCGTGGGCTGCCACCTGGACTCGGAGAAGGAGGCGGTCGTCATGGCTGCTGCTCATGGCTCCTGGCGGGAGCCAGACGTCGCCCGGGCCTTGAGGACGACGTGCCGCAGCGGTCTGGGAAAGATGTCTGCGAGTGGTCACAGCAAGGTCTTCGTGGCCGAACAGGAGCTCAACGATGACGCGATCACCGAGGGCGACGACTGCGATACATAATGTGAAGCGCTACGAGCCGACCATGGAGTCCACGATGAAGACGACCCACCGGCTGATGAACGCGATCTCATCGACGCCTTGACCTCTTGGAAGGAACAGCGGAAGCTTCACGGTACGGTCAAGTTGGGTCGCGAGTTCGCGAAGCCGAATTTGGAGGCCTACCGTCCACGGGTGAGGCGCCACAACTGCAAGAAGGTGGGTCCCTTCCAGAGTCCTCGCTCGTCCGAGCCAACGAAGCCCAAAAGCCAATTCTTCGTCGTGAAATGCATGTACAACACAACGGCGCCGAGGCCTGTCAAGCCCATCGGGAACCAGACCTTGGACGCGATCCTCAGCGCAACGATCCAGAAGAACCTTTTCACTAGGGCAGGCGACGAGGTCGAGCAGGCGGGTTGCTGAAGCATGGGTCCTGCGTGAATCGCGAGTAAGTCTCGAGCGATAGCGCGATTCCCAAGTAAATCGTGAGAGAAAAGCCAGCGTGGGCCACGAAGGACTACAATCCGAGGCCACAGAGGGCAGCGACGGGGCCGCCGAGGGCAGCACTGGGGCCGCGAAGGGCAGCGAGGGGGCCACAAAGGGCGACAGCGGGGCCACGTGGGGCATGCATGCGGGGCCACGACGGGCGCCAGCGAGCGGGGGCCACGAATGGCATTCGCATCCGGGGACACAAAGGGCGACAGCGGGGCCACTGAGGCAGCAAAGGGGCCACGAAGGGCGGCGGGGGGGCCACGAAGGGCGACGCCGGGTATACGAAGGGCATGCGTATGGGGCCATGACGGGCGCGTGCGAGCGGGGGCCACGAAGGGCGTATAATGCGGGGCCACTGAGGCAGCGACGGGGCCACCGAGGGCAGCAACGGGGCCACGCAGGGCAGCGAGCGAAGGCGGGCGAAGGGCAGCGAGCGGCGACTGCAGTCCCTAACGGGCTGGTCGGCCGGATCGGAGCCCTCAGATCGAGAAGGATGCGCTCCTCTCGTCTACTCCAGGTCATGCCATTCACGATTTGGGCTCTAGGTACCGCGACCTTCGATCAACATTGTCAGCGGCTACGGCAAGATAGTAGACTGCAACCTGCGTATCTCCCCGACGCCCCGAAGGTAGCCTTCCGCTGCGGGAACGATGGCAGTCAGGCGTCAGCGAGCGAGGCGCTGCTGCCGAGCGGGATTCAGGGCAGGAGCGCGGTGACGAAGTGGTCGTTGGTGCCAGGGTCGGCACCCTTCCTCATGTCCAAGCAGCAGATCAAGGCCATGAAATCTCATATCGACACTGCCAGGGACACGGTCACCATCTGCGACCTGCCAGACCGCCGACTCGGGACAGGAGCTGGCGGCCACTTCGTACTTTCTCTCACGGAGTTCGGCCCCAGGGGTTTCAGCGTCGATCTGAACCCGATCGTCGACGATCCAGAGGTCACCATATACATTGCGGTTGCCGCGACCGAGAAGCAGCCGAACGTGATCCTGGCCGCTGAAGGATCAGCAGGCGACGTTGAGGACATGACCGTGTGCGTTCGAGCTGGAGGTCCACCACCACCCCTTCAACGGGGAGCTGGAGACGGTGCTCGCATCATTCTCGGCGACAGCCTGGACGGATGCCTTGCGACGGTAGCTCCAGCAGTTCTCGAGTTACCTCCAGCTGACCTCAAAGAGCCAGCATCTGGATATGCTGAGAGGCTTGTCGCCCAACAATATCCGCTCCTCGTCGCCAACCCCGACCCAGGTCCGAAGCCCGAGGGTCAGGAGAGGCCCGACACTGGCGCCGATAGTGATCTTGGGGCCCCTGGGAATCTGGAACAGAAGGTCAGCGAACCCGAGGAGGTACATCCTCCATCAGAGGATGCTACTGGTCAGCTCACCCGCCGACAGAGGCGACGACTGGTGAAGGACATAGCGCAAGTCACCGCTCAACTGCGACGTGCTGGCCGTTTCGAGCTGTTCAGCCCCGAGCGCGTGGGCCCGATCGCCGAGCTCAAAGGTCTGGCCCCATCAAGGCTCTCGATCTCACCACTGGCTGGGACCTTCTGCGCGCAGATCACCGTCGAGAGATGTGGCGACAACTTCGTGAATATCAGCCTGATTGGGTTGCCATGTCGCCACCCTGCACGTTGTTCAGCATCCTGCAGTACATGAACAAGCAGAGGGACTCACCCATGTACCAGCAACGTCTAGCACGAGCTCGACTCCTAGTACGGCTCTGTGTTCAAGTTGCGGAACACCAACTTGATCACGGTCGTGACTTCTACATCGAGCAACCGCGGTCGGCGCAGTCGTGGAACGGGCCAGCGATGATCAAGCTGATAGGTCAGTACCGCGTGTTTGGGACTGTTGGACATGATTGTCAGTACGGCTATCGCGATGCGGTAAGTGGCAAGCCCTACCAGAAGGCTTTCAGGTTCGTCACCTCGAGTCCCGTGCTGGCTCAGGCCCTGTCTAAGCGATGCCCTGGCGACCACCACCACGAGACGATCCAAAGAGGAGCTGGAGGTGAACGGCCGAGCGCTGCATCACAGCGTTACCCACCTGGCCTAGTTCGTGCCATCGTCAGCGGGATGTCCAAGGATATGTCAGTGCTGGTCTCTGAGGTGGAGGTTCAGAAGTCGCTGCAGGCGAGGGACGTGCTCTGACAAGGTGGGGTCGAAGTCCTCTTCCACGAGTCCCTGATGGCGGACGTCTTCGCATCGTCCAAGAAGCGTAAGAAATCCGTCGAGGACGTAGACGAGTCCCCCGAATCACCTGCTGAAGCTCGAGACCAACGTCGGAAGTTGGAGACGGCGGTTCGCAAGACACATGTCAATCTTCGTCACCCTGCGGTTGGCGAAATGGTACGCGTCCTCAAGCATGGCAACGCATCTGAGGAGGCCATCGCCATTGCCCCGGGCTTCCAGCGCGACGTCTGCGAGCAGAATCGAGCTCCCAAGCTCCCACGGCCAGCAACCGCCCCCAGGGACCTCCAGGTGCTGTCCGAGGTCGGCTTCGATGTCAAGGAGCTGCCGTATTACATCCCTGGGAAGACCTGGGCCGCGCTGAACGTCGTCGATGGCGCCAGCTCCCTTCAACAGATGACGCCGCTGGCTGGTAGCGAAGAGAAAGGCGAGACCCTCAGGAAAGCCTGGGACGTGGGCTGGCGACAGCCCTGCGGCGCACCGGCCAGGGCCAAGTGTGACTCGGCCCAGGCCAATACTGGCACCATCATGATGACCGAGGTTCTTGAATACGATGGCGTGGATCTCGATGTCATCCCAGGTGAAGCTCATTGGCCACTCGGAAGGGCTGAAAGGCATGGCTCCTGGTTCGCCAATATTCTGAGCAAGGTGATTGAGACCATCCAACCGAAGAATCACCAGGAGTGGGAGCAGTGCATCGTGGCGGTCTGCGATCAGAAGAACCGCCTCCTGAGGAAGCATGGCTACAGCCCCTATCAACATGTGTTTGGACGTGATCCTCCTCTTCCAGCCGACTTGCTCAAGGACTCGCCTGACGTCGTCGCGAACAGCCTGGCATTGCACAGCGACATCTACCAGCGGACCACTGCTGTTCGAGCCGCTGCTCGCATGGCCGTCCTGATGTACAGCGACGACGAGGCCGTGAGGACCGCCTTGGACGCCCGACCTCGACTACTTCGAGAATGTCGTGCAGGAGATCGGGAAGCCCAAGGCAAAGGTCGTCAGAAGGATGGTAAGAACAATGCGCGATGGCATGGAAGGGCCGCTGTCCTTGGCGAGGAGAACGGTCACTACTGGCTGTCCCTCGCAGGTACCTTGATTCGAGCTGCTCCTGAACATCTTCGACGAGCCATTCGGGGAGAGGAGTGGGCAGACTGGCATGTGCGTCAAGAGTTCAAAGCAGCCTAGGAGAAGTTCAAAGGAAAGCAGGGCAACTCGATATACGTGGACGCCCCTGTCGGAAACAAAGGACAGGAATCGTCTCCGCTCGGTGAGGATCATGTCATAGTTGTGCCAGCGCCTCTACCTGTCAATGCTGAGCGTGCTCCACTTCCTGAACAGCCTCTACGCGATGCTGAACCGCTGGATGATGTACCGGTCCCAGCTGTTGAAGACGGCGATCCTGACGTAGATCACGCAGCCAAGCGAAAGGCCGACGAGATGCACGAGCCAGGTGCGGTGGCCCAGCGTGTATTCGACACCGAGGGCAAGCCCCTGAGGCGACTTCGGGAGAAGACGGCGACGCCGTCTGGGGCTGCTGCATCATCGTCTCCACCTGGTGGATCTGAGGCCGATGTGGTTCCACTCTTGAACGCCGTTGGGACGGCTGACACCCCGATCCCCGATCAGGATGTTGAAGAGCTGCTGACGGAGGCCCAGATGGAGGACCCGGACGCGATCAACACTGCCGATGTCTGCCTGACCTCCATGGCGCGCACCGGCAACCCCTGCTACGAGGCGCTGCTGGCGAAAGGCCGCAAGGAGATCACCGAGAGGCTCCGACCCGACCTCATCGAGGATATCCTGAACGCGAAGATGACAGAGTGGCAGACCGTGGACCAAGAGAAGCATGCGGCGCGCGTGTGCAGTCTGAAAGAGTCAGGGGAGATCAAGCGGACCCGGCCTGACCGACTCGTCGACGCGCGCTTCGTCTTGACCGTCAAGTACGACCCCGACGGCAAGGAGTTTGTGAAAGCCCCCTGGGTCGCCACAGGCTTCAAGGACCCGGACGCTCTCAAGCTGGTTTACTGGGACCAGACAGCAGCTCCTACGATATCGCAGAATGCCTGGATGTTCGCTCTCCAACTTGCAGCATCGCATCGTAGGCAATTTCAATCGGAGACATCCAGGGCGCCTTCATGGAGAGCGATCCACTACAACGACCAGACGGACCTCCCTACGCGAAGCCACCGCCGGGAAGCCTTCCTGGACTTCACCCCGACCAGGGTGGAACTCGCACTTCCTATCTATGGTCTGGATGGCGCTCCCTGCCGCTGGTACTCGAAGATATCAGGTTGGCTCACGGATCAGGCCGCCCACGAGAACAGGGCGCGGACGAAGTCAAGACTGGACCCCTGCCTTTTCTTTCTCAGAGATGCTCGACAACAACTCTGTGGAATTTTTGTGGTTCGCATCGACGATGTGCTGATCGCCGGGAAGGTGACGACTTCAAAGAGAGGGTGCAGAGGCTGAAGGCGAAGTTGCCATTTCGCAAATGGGCCGTCGGCGAAGGTGAGTACTGCGGCATGTCTACTCCATCAGGATCCGAAGACGCTCGACATCTCTGCCCTCCAAAACCTCGCCCTGCCAGGAGCTGAAGCCAGTTGCAGTCCGACGACGGGTTGCTGATAGTGAACCAGCCACCGAAGCTGAAGTTGCTGGGCTTCGACGTCGACTTGGTCAAGGAGGCTGGCTCTGCAGTAAAACGCGACCTGACACCGGCGTGCAGGTATCTCAAGGCCAGCAAGTACTACCTCGACCAACAGTGGGTCAGATCAGACGAACCAACGCACTTGCTCGGCGGCTACTTCAACATAAGGATTTTACCCTGGTCGTGAAAAGTATTCCACCTCAGGACCTGTTTCTGAACGCTGCCAAGAACGGAAATCAGAGGGGCTACGTCCTGGGTTTCGCGCCTCGCGAGATGGCGGAGGGCAAGCAGTCACCTTGGAGTCCTGCCGCCTGGCGTTCGTATCGTCTTAAACGTGTGGTTGACTCTACCTTGGCAGGTGAGACGCAGGCCCTGTCCGACAGCATCGGTCACCTGAAATGGTTGCTATGCCACCTATCTGAGGCCCTCTCCGCGGACTTCGACATCAAGAGGCGGGAGCACTGGCCTAGCCGACACCCATGCTTGGCGGTCACAGACTGCAAGAGCGTGTACGACCACATCACAAGAGCCTCCTCGCCGTCCACGGTTGGAGATCGTCGCATGGCGGTAGACATGGTTGTTGTTCGGAAGGGCTTGTCTCGTTCGGCAACGAGGCTGCGATGGGCTCCCACAGACCGGCAACTGGCGGATGGGCTGACGAAGGACTCTGCGGAGCCGTGTGACTTGCTCATGGGCGTCATCAGGACGGGCTGCTACCAGATCTTGGAGGAGAGCCTCATGCTGGACCTGGCCAAGAAGGAACGACAGCAGAGGAAGTCCACCAAGTGCTGATGCATTGCCGCAGAGGGTGACTGAGCTTCTTCAGTCGTGTGCAGTTTGTTGTTCGCAATTTACCTGCATGTGCGTTTTGGACTGTGGGTGCAAAGTTGCGACGAGTGTGTCTACTCGTGCAGGGGAATCAACACCGATCACAAGCACCTCTCTACCGTAGTTTGTGGCTCAAGCGGTTCAGGTACTCCGTGTACGTCTATAACCACTGCACTTTCATTCCGAGGGAATGGTGCACTTTGTGGCTTCTGGAGATCACGACTCGTGCCGCACGTCCTTGGCCACCTTGGGTTACGTGTCTGCTGCTGGGGCTGCAGCTCACAACAAGTCGTCCACCAAGGTGAAGATTAATGCAGGCATCTTGGTGGGCCCCAATTATGACAACCAGACGCAGCTGAGATCACGTTGGTCGACCTCGAGAGCCGTTTCACACTTTATCTCGAATCTGGTGATGAGAATGCGTTCGCTGGGGCTCCCGTTGCTGCTAACCTCGCCGCTGAGGCGGTGAAGGACCCGACAGGTCATGACTACCAGGTGCTCTCTTCCACCGAGGAGGCCTTGGCGCAGACTGCGAAGCAGGAGGTGGACATCAAGGGCTCGGACAGTCACGGGTTCGAGCGGGTTTCGTCGCCTTGGGTATCTCGTCGTATGGCTTTGTCGTCTGAGCCGGAAGTCCTCATGGGTGAGATCCTGCAGGAGGCCCGCACTAAGCTGAACGACTACCCCGAGCTGTACCATCGCCTGCGGTCGATCATGATCAGGGGCTTCTCCAGCTCCATTGAAGATGGCTTCGACACGTCTCCATTGGTAGTTCCCCCACAGGATGCCAAGGCCGTGAGGCAGCCGAAGTCTTGAGCCTTGGAGATCGAGCAGAACACGCTGCTGCTACTGTAGCTCGTGAATAACGACCAGGTGGGCAGCCCCACCTCTTGATCGTCCTCTTTCTCTTCCTCCTCCTCGTTCTATCTCTGTTTGCAGTCAGTGTGTGTGTGTGTGTGTGCTTCTTGAGTTTGGCAAGTTCTTTTTGAAGGGACGCGACCCTGGGGAGTCCTCCATGTTTTGCCGCCTGCTCAGGAAATCTCGAGGACCGTGTAAGTTCTGGGAATGGCGATCTAGAGATCTGGAACGACAGTCCTTTCGTCTTTCCTGGCAGTCTGGAACCGAGAAAGACCGGAAACTTCACTGCAAGTAGTTACTGTGTCTGCAGCGTTTGTGCTCAGTGTGCCGCGGTGGTGCAAAACAGTCGAGTCACATCCCTTACCCTACTCTCGTTGCTCCATACCCGGGACCGTCAAACAAAGACTCGGGGTGAAAAACTTGACTTTCGGGGACCCCGTTTGGAGAAGATCTAGCTATCGCATGTCTGCGGCCGATTTCTCCCGCGCCGGGAGGCGCCGAGGAAAGCGCCCGTCGGCGTGGCCAAAACCTGCTACACGCAGCATGCCCAGTTTTCCCGGTCCCCCTCCCTCCCCCCCTTGTGCCCGACTTGAGCCTGTTGGTCGTAGCCCAACGGGGTGCTGGTGGCAGTCGAAGGGGTCTCCTTCACGACCTCGCGCTTCGGCTCAGGGGGCGCCGCCTCGGAGGCCACAGCGGCTGGCGTGGCAGCGCCCGACACCACTGCCAGGGCGTCTGGCGGCTCCTGCGCAGCCCCCAGCGCCCGGTTGCGCAGGCTCGTCAGGTAGCCGTCGCCACGGAGGCGCTCGATGGACCTTTGGAGGCAACTTCTTGGAGATCTTCGTTAGAAAAACATAAAGAACCATTGACCCAGAGTCATTGGACCGGATTAGCGGGGGATTAAACCGAATCCACGGGATTAAGTCAGACTGAACGGGATTTTGCCAGATTATGCCGACTTTCGACCATGGATGTTATACCAGGGATCTGGATTGAACCTCCAAAGATGCTGAATTGAACTATATAGGAGTTGCATCCGGATGGACCGTATCTTGAGGTAGTGCGTGGGCAGCACGACCTCGGCTGGGTGCTCCCACATAGACTCGAACGTCTCGCGGTGGCAGAAGTACTCCCTCCCGTTCTCGTGCTTCACGGAGTACCACTTCGCGAGCTCCTGTTTCGCCTCCGACTGCCAGGTCTCCAGCAGAGCTGCAATCGTCGACTCCCTGAGCTCGGTGGGGAACGTCAGGCACATCCGGCAAACGCCCGCGAGCTCCCTCAGGGGTGCCTCCAGCGGATGCGCCCAGGTGCTCTGGCCGGTGGACCGCTGCGCGAAGAAGATCCGACCCTCCGAGTCCCGCGCCATGTGCCAGGGCGAAGGCAGAGGCGCCTTCGAGAGGGCGTCACTGAGAAATCGCAGTACCACTTCCTCGCCGGGGAGCGTCACGATGCCGAGCGACCTGTTAGGCAGGTGGTAGTGGGGGCGGCCTCAATGGGGGGTGAAGCAAAGTACCCCAAATGGGCCCTTCTTCACCCCCATGTAAGTCACTCCCCACTAACCACCCGTCCGAACCTGACGTACTCTATCCGCTCCTCCGGTGTCCAGGATGCCTGCGCCTGCGCCTGCGCCTGCGTCGCCCCCGGGGTCCCGCCCTGCTTTCCCGGGTGCCCGCCCTGCCTCCGCCGCCAGGATGCCTGCGACCCTTTGCTGATCTGCGTCTGGCTCGGGCTGGGAGCGGCACTGCCCTGCCTCCCCCGAGCCCAAGGTGCCTGCGACCCCTTGCTGATCTGCGTCTGGCTTGGGCTGGGAGCGGCACTGCCATGCCTCCCCCGAGCCCAAGGTGCCTGCGACCCCTTGCTGATCTGCGTCTGGCTTGGGCTGGGAGCGGCACTGCCCTGCCTCCCCTGGGCCGAGGAGGACGGCGTCCACTTGCCGATCTGCGTCTGGCTCGGGCTGGGGGCAAGAGGCTGCGGGGCCTAAAAGAAGAAACAACGGCATAAGCATCAACTGTCCGAGCTCCGCGCGGAATTTTTGCATCGGCGCTGGCACCCCCTAATCACCTGTCACCTGGCGCGCGGAGCGCGTCAGGGGCGTCGTCGGAGGCGCCGCCAGAGGGGCCCAGCGCCGATCCAAAAAGTCCGCGCGGAGCTCGGAGAGTGCACGCTTAAGCCGACGTCTCTTCTTGGGCGACCTCCCCTCTCGTATGGTGGTTCACGAACGCTACCCGCTCATCCTCGCTCCAGGACGAGGTCGACACCCTGTTCGTGGGCGTCTGCGCCGACATCGGCTGCCCCACCCACGCAGCGTGCTGGCTCTGTCTCGCAGGGGCGGTGCCTCCCTCGGCAGACTGCCCGCTCGCGACGGGCTGCTCCCGAGCACCCGCGGCCGCGCCGACGGAGCCGTCGGCGCCCCTGGCGTTGATCTGCGAGGCACCGTATGCGCCAGAGCCGGCCGCGAAGGCGTGCCTGCCCTGCGCGTGCTGGATCCCCGCCTGGCGCCTGTCGGCGGCGTCGTGGCCATCCATGGCCACGCCGCCGTGCCCTCCTGCGGCGCCGCCGCCCGCCTGCGGCGCCGCCTCCCTCTCCGCTCCGGGCGCCTCCAGAGAAAACCTCGGGAAGGGCGCCAGGGTGCAATCCTCGCGGAGGCAAGGGGAAGCCACGGCGTTGGCACGCTCAGGGGGGCGTTCGAGCCAGAGCGGTGTTACAGGGCAGGGCGAAGAAGATGGGGGAGGAGGGCGAGGAGAAAACGGAAACATCACGAGGAGGAAGCAAAGGGCCATCTGGCCCTTGCCCCCCGCGCCCCTGCGCGCGGCCGCGACCGGCTGCGCGTGTACCATGTCTACAACAACTTCTGCGTGCACGACTTGTTTCACCTGTGCGCGATCAACTGCGACTACAACAACATCCGTCAGTGGGACAACATCCGCGAGAAGGAGAATTACCGCGACTCTAACATCGACTACCAGTTGTTGAACCACAGGGCTACGATACTTACCCACTTATGTAGGGACGTTCTGACAAGAATGCCGACACTATGCACGCATAGACGGACGTGGGCGCGAACAAAAGCGGCCCAAACAAGAGTGGGGTACACCGTCAGGCATGGGATACAGCCTCGACCCAACGACATCGTTATCATTGCTACGACCGCCCTCGCGAAAGCGTCCAAGCACGAGCTGCGTATCAGGCAGTCCCAATGCGGGAACGAGCTGCGTAAACAGGCAGCCCAAGTGCGAGTATGAGCTGCGCAACAGGAAGCCCAAGGACGAGTACCACCACCATTACGAAACCAAGTACGCCCCCAAGACCGACACCAGGAATGACACGACCGAGCAGCCCGAAAGGGGTACTAAGTACGTCGTCGTGGAGGTACCGGTGGACGAAGGCCGCGCCGCCCACGACGAGTACGACTACGGCCGCGCAGCCTACGACCAGTGCGACTACGACGACTTTTTCGATGGCAACCTGTACTCCTACGAATCCCAGTGCTACTCCGGCTTCCAGAACGTGGACACCAGAAGTGCTCCTGCCGAGCTACAAGAGCCACCAACAGAGCCACGAGAGCCACAAGCTGAGCTACGAGGACCGAGAGCTGACCTACGTGAGCCACATGCAGGGCTAAGAGAGACCCACCAGCTGAGACACGAGGGCCGCCAGCTCAGATACGAGGATCACCAACAGAGCTACGTGGACTACCAGGTGAGCTACGGGAGCCACCTGCTCAGCTATGAGAGCCACGGGCAGAGCTTCGAGAGCCATCGGCAGCCCCACGAGGTCCACCTAGAAAGCCACGAAAACCACAACCTAAGCTCCGTGGGCAACGAGCAAAGCAACTACATCCACCAGCAGAGCAAACAGGGCCACCGAGGGCCTTTCCAGGACCACAACCTGAGCTACGAGGAAGACAGGCACAGCTACGTGAGCTATCAGAAGTGCTCCTGCCGAGCTACAAGAGCCACCAACAGAGCTACGAGAGCCACAAGCTGAGCTACGAGGACTGAGAGCTGACCTACGTGAGCCACATGCAGGGCTAAGAGAGACCCACCAGCTGAGACACGAGGGCCGCCAGCTCAGATACGAGGATCACTCACAGAGCTACGTGGACTACCAGGTGAGCTACCGGAGCCACCTGCTCAGCTATGAGAGCCACGGGCAGAGCTTCGAGAGCCATCGGCAGCCCCACGAGGTCCACCTAGAAAGCCACGAAAACCACAACCTGAGCTCCGTGGGCAACGAGCAAAGCAACTACATCCACCAGCAGAGCAAACAGGGCCACCGAGGGCCTTTCCAGGACCACAACCTGAGCTACGAGGAAGACAGGCACAGCTACGTGAGCTACCAGAAGTGCTCCTGCCGAGCTACAAGAGCCACCAACAGAGCCACGAGAGCCACAAGCTGAGCTACGAGGACCGAGAGCTGACCTACGTGAGCCACATGCAGGGCTAAGAGAGACCCACCAGCTGGGACACGAGGGCCGCCAGCTCAGATACGAGGATCACCAACAGAGCTACGTGGACTACCAGGTGAGCTACCGGAGCCACCTGCTCAGCTATGAGAGCCACGGGCAGAGCTTCGAGAGCCATCGGCAGCCCCACGAGGTCCACCTAGAAAGCCACGAAAACCACAACCTGAGCTCCGTGGGCAACGAGCAAAGCAACTACATCCACCAGCATAGCAAACAGGGCCACCGAGGGCCTTTCCAGGACCACAACCTGAGCTACGAGGAAGACAGGCACAGCTACGTGAGCTACCAGAAGTGCTCCTGCCGAGCTACAAGAGCCACCAACAGAGCCACGAGAGCCACAAGCTGAGCTACGAGGACCGAGAGCTGACCTACGTGAGCCACATGCAGGGCTAAGAGAGACCCACCAGCTGGGACACGAGGGCCGCGAGCTCAGATACGAGGATCACCAACAGAGCTACGTGGACTACCAGGTGAGCTACCGGAGCCACCTGCTCAGCTATGAGAGCCACGGGCAGAGCTTCGAGAGCCATCGGCAGCCCCACGAGGTCCACCTAGAAAGCCACGAAAACCACAACCTGAGCTCCGTGGGCAACGAGCAAAGCAACTACATCCACCAGCAGAGCAAACAGGGCCACCGAGGGCCTTTCCAGGACCACAACCTGAGCTACGAGGAAGACAGGCACAGCTACGTGAGCTACCAGAAGTGCTCCTGCCGAGCTACAAGAGCCACCAACAGAGCCACGAGAGCCACAAGCTGAGCTACGAGGACCGAGAGCTGACCTACGTGAGCCACATGCAGGGCTAAGAGAGACCCACCAGCTGAGACACGAGGGCCGCCAGCTCAGATACGAGGATCACCAACAGAGCTACGTGGACTACCAGGTGAGCTACCGGAGCCACCTGCTCAGCTATGAGAGCCACGGGCAGAGCTTCGAGAGTCATCGGCAGCCCCACGAGGTCCACCTAGAAAGCCACGAAAACCACAACCTGAGCTCCGTGGGCAACGAGCAAAGCAACTACATCCACCAGCAGAGCAAACAGGGCCACCGAAGGCCTTTCCAGGACCACAACCTGAGCTACGAGGAAGACAGGCACAGCTACGTGAGCTACCAGAAGTGCTCCTGCCGAGCTACAAGAGCCACCAACAGAGCCACGAGAGCCACAAGCTGAGCTACGAGGACCGAGAGCTGACCTACGTGAGCCACATGCAGGGCTAAGAGAGACCCACCAGCTGAGACACGAGGGCCGCCAGCTCAGATACGAGGATCACCAACAGAGCTACGTGGACTACCAGGTGAGCTACCGGAGCCACCTGCGCAGCTATGAGAGCCACGGGCAGAGCTTCGAGAGCCATCGGCAGCCCCACGAGGTCCACCTAGAAAGCCACGAAAACCACAACCTGAGCTCCGTGGGCAACGAGCAAAGCAACTACATCGACCAGCAGAGCAAACAGGGCCACCGAAGGCCTTTCCAGGACCACAACCTGAGCTACGAGGAAGACAGGCACAGCTACGTGAGCTACCAGAAGTGCTCCTGCCGAGCTACAAGAGCCACCAACAGAGCCACGAGAGCCACAAGCTGAGCTACGAGGACCGAGAGCTGACCTACGTGAGCCACATGCAGGGCTAAGAGAGACCCACCAGCTGAGACACGAGGGCCGCCAGCTCAGATACGAGGATCACCAACAGAGCTACGTGGACTACCAGGTGAGCTACCGGAGCCACCTGCTCAGCTATGAGAGCCACGGGCAGAGCTTCGAGAGCCATCGGCAGCCCCACGAGGTCCACCTAGAAAGCCACGAAAACCACAACCTGAGCTCCGTGGGCAACGAGCAAAGCAACTACATCCACCAGCAGAGCAAACAGGGCCACCGAAGGCCTTTCCAGGACCACAACCTGAGCTACGAGGAAGACAGGCACAGCTACGTGAGCTACCAGAAGTGCTCCTGCCGAGCTACAAGAGCCACCAACAGAGCCACGAGAGCCACAAGCTGAGCTACGAGGACCGAGAGCTGACCTACGTGAGCCACATGCAGGGCTAAGAGAGACCCACCAGCTGAGACACGAGGGCCGCCAGCTCAGATACGAGGATCACCAACAGAGCTACGTGGTCTACCAGGTGAGCTACCGGAGCCACCTGCTCAGCTATGAGAGCCACGGGCAGAGCTTCGAGAGCCATCGGCAGCCCCACGAGGTCCACCTAGAAAGCCACGAAAACCACAACCTGAGCTCCGTGGGCAACGAGCAAAGCAACTACATCCACCAGCAGAGCAAACAGGGCCACCGAAGGCCTTTCCAGGACCACAACCTGAGCTACCAGGAAGACAGGCACAGCTACGTGAGCTACCAGAAGTGCTCCTGCCGAGCTACAAGAGCCACCAACAGAGCCACGAGAGCCACAAGCTGAGCTACGAGGACCGAGAGCTGACCTACGTGAGCCACATGCAGGGCTAAGAGAGACCCACCAGCTGAGACACGAGGGCCGCCAGCTACCGGAGCCACCTGCTCAGCTATGAGAGCCACGGACAGAGCTTCGAGAGCCATCGGCAGCCCCACGAGGTCCACCTAGAAAGCCACGAAAACCACAACCTGAGCTCCGTGGGCAACGAGCAAAGCAACTACATCGACCAGCAGAGCAAACAGGGCCACCGAAGGCCTTTCCAGGACCACAACCTGAGCTACCAGGAAGACAGGCACAGCTACGTGAGCTATCAGAAGAACTTTAAGACCCACCTGCCGAGCTACGAGAGCTACTAGCGGAGCCACGAGAGCCGCAAGTTGAGCTATGAGGACCGCGAGCTGACCGAATTATGTGAGCCACAAGGAGGGCCACGAGGACCACCAGCTGAACCACGAGGGCCACCTGCTGCGCGAAGAGGACCACCAGCTGAGCTACCGAAGGCACCAGCTGGGCTGCAGGGACAACACAGCTACTACTGTCACCAGTCTCGAACCACAGGAATTGGCCTGCCTTCTGCACGTCCTCCGCCTCGTGCGGAGGACCTTCTGGGCGGACCGGCGCAGCTACTACAGCGACCAGAAGAGCTACCGAGCTCCCCAG